TATATATATAATATATATATATATATATATACATATAATCAATCAAACAAAGTGTATGTGTAATGTGGGAGGGGCGTGTGTGGGCGGGGGTGCTGGGTGCGCGTATGCGTGAGTGTGCGCGCCGTGTGTAAATGTGTTTTATTCTATTTCAGTTCCAATTAAACAACCCACAGTTCCCCAGTATTTCAAATATTGCATGCACGTACATGTGTCAATAGTGAGTTCGCGTATGCCATGTAATTTCACATTTTTACAAAATTGTGTAATTAAACAGCAGGTCATCTGGTCGAGTCGGTTACTGTACAAATATTTATCCGTCGACTCGCTTTTATAAGCAAGAAGCCGCCCAGTTATACCCATGTATGGTTATTAACGGCGGTGTAGGGGACTATGACTATCAGCAATGCGCCCTAACGTGTAATCTGTCGTTAATAGAGGACTTACTCGGAAGACTCTCACTGTGAAATCTTTATTACGCTATTACAATTTGATTTAGCCACATGAAATCATAAAACTCGCCAATTTCGTTCTTATATATCCAGGACTTATATTATTGGAATATTATTTAAAACAAACACCCGTCGGTAGAATTACGGCGTACGATCATTTTTCTGTATGTTTATGTGATGGATTGTTATGAAACCTGACTCAGTTGTTGGTGTAATTTATATACGCTATTATGATATAATCTATGCGTTTAGTCATGTTTCACTGCCACACATACGCCACCACTTTTACAGAATTACAATGTGACGATGTGCGGTTATAAACGATTTCATCCGATAGATGGCAGTAAAAGGTTATATTAAATAGAGTACCTCTATATGGAGGTACTTTATGGAGGTACTCTAATATTAAACTCACAGCATAAAATGACAGAGAACAATTATTTTATTTGTCCGAACATGAAATCAGAACAGGCTAGATTGATATACATAACTTATATTTATATTATAAAGCTTATTGCCCCAAGATTAAATAAAACTGCATTAAAACAAAGGCGTCGTGCTGGATAATCTGAATTATTGCAATAGAGTTTGGCATCCCTCAGAAACATTCCAACACGTGGTTTATAAATGTTAGCTTGTATTCATTTTATTTAGACAATTTATATTAGAACATAGTCACAGTTGTGCAAAAATAAATATTTAAATGACGATTAAACTTCTTGAGATAATATTTCATTTACAGATATATTATCAGTTAGTATTATGTAGCATTTTCATAGCAAACATTTCTAGTACTTGCATTAAAAATACCTTGATACAGTGAAAATTTCAAATCTATGTATAAATATTTAGTCTGTCAGGAATCCTCAGCTTCAGGATAAAATATCTGAATAACCTCTCTCCATTCGAGCTCTGGCCAATAACCATTTGTCCGAGCATTTGGTGGACTCTTGTTCCAATCCCATTCCTTTATCGGTTCGAACCACTGGTCACCATAGTTTGCTTCTATGTAGGACAAAGTATCACAGGGCACTCTCACTTTGATTCCCATCAGTTCTGTCCAGCAAAGTTGGAACTTGGGAAAATCATACCTAGTGACGAAAATGACTCTGTTAGAAAAATGTTGCAGATAGCACATTAAACAGGGAATAACATTCAAGATCCAATCATGGCTTTCCAACAGCCACAGAGTTTCACAAAGAGCAAGCATTCATGGAGATGCAGATTAGCCTAAACAGTCATTGATACAGGCATATAGAATAGACTTTAGCCACCTCATGGCCATTCTTCAGCACATGCTATGTGGAGGTTATAGTTGTAACGTAATTCTCAATGACAAGTTTAGTTTTACAATTGCAAGACATCCAAAACATCATATATATCAGGAGTAGATAATAGGGAAGGAGTGTGACTTCAATAAACAAGGGAAACCTACGATTTACTACGCGTAACTCGTCCAACTTGAGCTCAAATCGTACACAGTACATTCGCCTAGCATCGTGCGAAATCGTTTCCTCGTATACACCCGCAATCCGGAGATACAGACTAAAACGTACGACACGATTTTCCATTCTGTTGCCAGCAAACTTGATGCGTTCAGAGCCTAATTTGAAACAAAAGGCAGCTGCTAACGCTCGGCGATGCAGTGTGGCTCGCTGGGGGATTGCTGCTGATTGCGGTGGGCGTGCGTGCGTGCGTGGGGGGCATACCAGCTGTATGCCGGTATGTAGCTGTATGCCGGGTCAAAGGTTATCTCGCCGAGTGTTGCGTCAATGTCCAATCTCCCAGCGAGTCACACCGCATCGCCGAGCGTTAGTAGCTGCCTTTTGTTTCAAATTAGGCTCTGAACGCATTGAGTTTGCTGGCAACAGAATGGAAAATCGTGTCGTACATTTTAGTCTGTATCTCCGGTTGCGGGTGTATACGAGGAAACGATTTCGCACGATGCTAGGCGAATGTACTGTGTATGATTTGAGCTCAAGTTGGACGAGTTACGCGTAGTAAATCGTGAGTATTATAAGGCTAGTAAATGACGAATTTCCCTTGTTTATTGAAGTCACACTCCTTCCCTATTATCTACCCCTGATATATATACATTTAATAATACTATTTATCTATTACAGCTATACACAATATTCAAATTCAAACCTTGTCTTGGTTTTCATAAACAAACAAATGATGCATTCATGTGTGAGATTGACACTATAAAGTGTGTGAGTTATTAACGACTATATATAAAAGAATATACCTATACTTCTGGCCACTCGTGAATTCGGTTCCACCATTCCACATGCCACGACTGTCCTCGTAGAAGAAGAAAATGTCCAGCTTAACGCCACTGTAGCCAAACGACAATTCATAGCTGTCGTTCACCTGCAGAAACACAAAACACCAGCACGCTCACATAACATCAGCAGTGACACATCGCCGAGCTGTGCATGAAGGAACAGCAATGGTCATAGCACAGCTTCTGTTATCTTGTGTTATGTATGTTATGTTGTGTGGTAACAACAATGTGTTACAAGCTGCTGATCTTATTTTCAGGTTACTAAGATACATTCCCACACTGTAAAGATGAAGATTAAGAGTATAAAGACAAAAATATCGCATGAAACAATAAGCACGTACTTACCCTACCAAAAATGCTGTGCAACCAGAAACCTTTAGCTACAAATGCATCTATTATGCCTGGATGATAATGCTTTATCCACACACCAATGTCGACATCTTTACTATAAGGTATGACGTCACATTGTCTAAACCAGCCTGTAAAACAAACAACGTTATCATTCCAACATGACATCTGTTGCATGGCTAGCATACCAAAGAAGTTCTCAACCTCACTAAAATCTAAACATTACCAAATGCAGTAGGTTAAATCCGCCCTGCAATTATATGCTAATATATATATATATATATAAACACACGCTTGTACACATATCTATGGTTACACTAACATTGCAGATGTCATCAGTCTGACAGGAAATTTTTTTTTGGTATGTTATGGGAAGAAACAACTTTTAAAAATTAATCACTCTAATTTTTATTATGTTCATATCACCACTAGCGATGACCAATTCATTACCTAAACAAGTTCCACTACTCAGCCAAAATGGGACTTCCAGTGATTCCAAAACCAATTTGCTCAGTCTAATGATCTGTAGAACTTTGGCCTTGAAATACAGAGCCTCTCCGGAAGTATCTGCATGACAAAGCCTATTCTAATTATCCTATAGACGATAAAACTGAAATTTTTATTTGTACTGATTCATGAATAAAATGTAAATTTGAGTCCTAAACTTGTATTCTCTGATCTTTTTACTTTACCATCATTGTAGGTATCAAAAAACTCCTTGGCTCTAGTGTAGTTGCAGGAAATAAATGTAGAATTTGCAGTTTCAGCTAGGAATTCTGATGTATTGGCTGGTACTTCAATCTCCAGGTCATCTAGTTTGCTGCTCCTTACATCAAACCTAGCATATTTCATAATTGTTGTCACTGCTCTTCACATATATTTAATGTTTAGTAACAAGCACAGATGCAGAAACACACCAATTTAAAAATGCTTATATATTATTTACACGTTTTTGAGCTTGATTATCAGCCACAACAAACTTGTAATCATTTTTATAAATAAAATACAAGGTCATGGTAGTAGTATCAATAACCAAATCCTTTACTGATGAATGTACATTTTTATAGGTAGGTTTTCCACATGCTTAGTCTTCACATACTTTTCATAACCTCCCCCCACTCTCCATTATCACCCCTCTCAGCATCCTCACTCCTGATCAGTCAAAGTAATCAGTAACTAACCAGTCGAGCACTCCTTCTCTTCCACCTGATCCATACTGCAACATATCCTCTGGGAACCCTAACGTCGTCACTCCAGTCGCAGGTCCGTGCCAGAGGAAGGAGCCGTGAATGTCGTATAGGATAACCACATGGAGCCACCAGCCTGTTCTCTCAGCAACGATGTGAAGCGGGATATTCGCGTTAGCATGGGCATGCCTCACATCCAAGATGATACCAGGACCCGTTAGGATATCGACTCGGAAACCGACCTCCTGAAGGTCGCTCAGTGAATTTTCCTGCAAATGCAATGGTCTCTAATTGATGAGATCAGCATTATCCCATACGTTTTTCCAGTCTTAACCAACGAGCTCAGATTATTTCAAAATATGCTACATTAATCTATTGTTGTTAGCTTATTAGTCTAGGTTAAATACAGTAGTGAATATGATCAATTCTATTTTTAAATCTGCTGCTGCATACCAGATCAGGTGGGCTTTTAAGATTGGCAATTGTAGCAAACGTTGTCACGACCTGTGACGAGAGAAAATGCAAGTTCAGCCCAGGTGGATTTTTTCTTGATATCGCCTCTAGTGCCAATTTGTCGACTAGAACAAGCCTAATTCCTTGCTGACTGAATATGGCTAGTATGTCCCTTAGAACTATCTGAAATAATAGAAATTAAGAATTATAGAATTATAGGAAATAAGTTTCATTTAAAATATAATCACATGAAATTAATGCTATAATTTATGAATTTGTACAATAAACTTTCCACATCAAATAGTAGAAAATAGCAATTTACTTGATTATCATACCAAATTCGTATTAGCATACTTTGCAGGTGATACTTATTAGGGCTGTAACGATCCACCGAAATCGAATCGGATTGCGATTCTCTTCCCTCAATCCGATCCTCGATATTTTTCCCCGTATTTTCGATTCCACTTCGATACCATTTTTTCCTCCAATAGATGGCGGCACAACGCTATAAATCTTGTGGAGTGTTACACACCAATTTTACTCAGCGACTGTGCAGTGTATATATACCATAGAGATGTATAAATAGTATACATCTCTATGATATATACTCTCTAGACTCTCTAGTCTATTCACCATTTAGTATTCATTGGCAATTTCTAATAATTTATTATTGCAAAATAATGAAAATATAAAAAACAAGAGAGTTTGTGCGTGAGAGTTGGCAGCCCTGTGCCCCTATGATGAATATATAGTACATTTGCTAACTAAGCAAAAATGAATAAATATTGATAAGTATAAACACTATGTAATATACCTGTGAGACCTCATCTTTCTCTGCTATTGCGCAAGCATCGTAGTTTTCGCTCTGTAATACAGATTTTTAATTGCACATATATTCAGTGTAAAGTGTAAACTGGTAAATTGTAACTAATGAATTGATTTTCATTGTAGTCTTATACGGCAATAGCTTGACTACTTTTGCTATACAAAATTATATATCAAGACTTCACATACATATATGGTCTACGGTCAACTCGGCCCACCTGCCAACTCGCACCCGCATTGTGGCGAGTTCACCCGTCTGGAGATCGGTGAGCTCGGCTCGTGGGATGAGTTCACCCTCCTGGAGATCGGTGAGCTCGCCTCGCCGGCTAACTCCTGAGGTGTTTCACACGCCCCAACGTCAAAACGTTTGCATGTAAGTTAGTACATTTGATGCATGTACGCATGGGTATATGTTATTATATCATACTATTATATATCCAGGTGAGTAGATATATTGGGCCAGCGAGTTGTGACATCAATAAACAAGGGAAATCGTCATTTACTAGCCCTTCTATAATACCTCCGATTTACTACGCCTTGTGAACTCATCCAAACTTGAGCTCAGAGTCAGGACACAGCGACATCCGCCTACCATCGTGCGACAATCGTTTCTCGATATACACCCCGCCCAATCGGGCCAATACAAGAGCTAAAACGTCATTGACACCGATTTTCACAATTCTTTGGCCATCAATCAATCCACTGCCGCTCTTATTCACAACCAAAAGCCAGCTACTAAACACACTGTCCACGGCCTTGCCTTCATCCGCGTAGGCGCTGTGGCGCGCAGGGAGAATAGGATCAACTCGCTAAACACTCGGCGAGCATAACCTTCATGACCCGTACGTAGCCTACATAACTGGCATGCCGCAATACAGCTGGCATGCCCCCATACCACGCACGATGGCCAATCGCTATCAGCAGCAGATCCGATTCAAATTTCCTCACAGCGCCCTCGCCCTGGAGCGCTAAGCCTCGTGGACAGGTATGTTTAGTAGCTGACCTTTTAGTTTGAAGTAGAGGCGGGCATGTGCATTTGAAATCATTGTCGTATTCGTTTTAGGTCTGTCATCTTCCGATTGCGGTGATGTATACGACGGAAAACGATTTTGCACGATGGTAGGCGGATGTACTGTGTTCGATTTTGAGTCATAAGTATGGTCATGAGTTACGCGTAGTAAATCGTAAGGTATTATCAAGCGCCTAGTAATGACGAATTTCCACTTGTTTATTGATGTCACACTCCTTCCCTCATTATCTACTCCTTGACTATATAATACTATATATCTATATGGTATCTATTTATTCATATATATCAGGACGTTATATGAAAACATAGCTGGAGTTTGACATTCGTATTTGCGTTACTGCATTTCACTACATTTTTTTCCTCGACGTTTGATGTGAATACAAATACAAATGTATACAAACTATGAGTTCTTTGGTTCACTGCGTCCTTATTCTCATCCTTCCGGATAGTATACATACACCGCTCGTAGCTTCCTTCGTTTTGACATAAATCGATACTTTTAGCCACGACATCGGTTTCACATTTATTACCTGTGTCTGGCAAGGCCAAGCCGGTAAATTCGCATACACAGCAACTGAAAGGGCGGCGCGACTAGAAGATCGCGTCTCCGGCCAGCACGTTATCTCCGAAGAAGTTTTTGTTTCGGCTAACAACACGTCAGTAGATTGACGACGCTTCAACTCTCCCTTAATCAGCAACAGCACATGGTCATGATAAGTAAGCGTGTAAACAAGCATGGCGTTTGGCGCCTGCAATTACATAGTAATGGTTGCTATGGCAAAACAATGGTGCGAAAAGCATACAATACAGCCTGGAGCGGTCATTTTACTCTCTATAAGATTCATCACATTCATTCCTCGATCCTTGCCGGTGAAGCTAGTCTCAGAATATTTACCAGCCGCACCGTTATTCTATCAAAAACAAGGCATTCTAACTATAGTTTCAATGTAAAATAATTTAATTTTTAATAGACCCACGCATGCACGCACTGTGCAACATACTTAATTTCTAAGCACATTTTCTGCAATCGGCTAAACTATGGCCAAAAGGCCTGCCGCGCCTCCTCTCAGTTGCTGTGTATGCGAATTTACGCTCTGGCCTCGCCACACAACGGTAAATAACGTGAAAACCATCGTCGTGCAAAATACGATTATGTCAAAACGAAGGAGCTAGCGCGTGTTGTTAATACTACCGGAGATAGAATAAGGACAGTGAACAAAAGAAGCTCACGAATTGTATAATTTGTATTTCTATTCACACTCGAACTCGTACGACAACAATGTAGTGAAATCAGTACCAAATCACGCTGATCAAACTCCTTTGTCTTCATTGACTCCCTGATTATATATATACTATTTATATTATATAACATATAACTTTTTTAAATAATCTTTCTTTATAGCATATATATATATATACCCGTGCATGTATCAAATGTACTAACTTACCTGCAAACGTTTCGACGTTGGGGCGTGTGAAACACCTCAGGAGTTAGCCGGCGAGGCGAGCTCACCGTTCTCCAGGAGGGTGAACTCATCCCACGAGCCGAGCTCACCGATCTCCAGACGGGTGAACTCGCCACAATGCGGGTGCGAGTTGGCTGGTGGGCCGAGTTGACCGTAGCCCACATAGATACCTCTGAGGTGATGAATCTTGCGAGATACATCTGAACCAGGATAAAAGCAATAGAGCTAGTACAAACTATTACAAATGCATGGAGCACCTGCATTTTGCAGAAGGGTGTACACTGTGTCTGGTTATAACTATTAATAAGATTTAAGTTTAACACAAAACAAGTCTTGGCAAAGTCTTTAGGCAAGCCGCATTGAGGAAATGCTATATCGCCGCATTAAACTTGTTCGTGCTACTACAGTACACGTAACACAGTGCTTGTGACGTTGTGTAACTAACATCACACACCAGCCGCAACAAGTCTTCCTCTGTTTGACCTAAACAGTGTTGTACTGGTAGATTTCGTGTAATTCTAATAATACCGTACTACTAGTTTCAGGGTTGATGTACACGCACTTCATTGTCCCTAATAATGTGTTTACACATACTATTTCTAGCCTACAAAACCTCGAATTAAATTAGGCATGTTGTTAAAATGGGCATTTTGACGGAGGCTGACATGACACTTGTTCGGCAGGAAATGGTATAGCGTAGTATTATATGTTATAATAAATAATACAAGTATAAGTAATACAATTATTTCAACATTATATTATTGACACACATACATAGATAATTAACTAAGCTGCAAGTAAAATTTCAAATTAAAATATCTTGTAAAATCTATGTAATGTATTTAACTACTTTACGGTGCGGGACAGCCTTTATTTGAAAACATCGCGCGTACGCAAACGTGTTGGTTATTAAGTTTAGTAATTAGTTATGTCTATTCATTAAGAAAGTGTGCTATCAATATAGCTAAATGTACGTTGTTGTAAATGATGATGGCCAGTTGAGTGCTGTATAATTTAGTGCCACCTGGACGGGTGCAATGGATGTCAGTTGGAAAGACAAGTTGGATTCCGTCGCGAGGGAAACCGAACAAAATCTAGAGAGAGCACGGGTAATACTAATAAATATCATTGCAGTTCTGTTACAGTTGTCACGCGCTGAGACCGCCCTCGTGCTGAAATCGGCTCCGCAATGAGAGGTACCGGCGTCATGGAGAGACTATGGGCGCGTTTGTTTGGGACGAATCCGTCGGATCGCGATCATGTGATCCTGATCCGCCCAAACAAACGAGTACTCGAAATACAACGAAATAAAATATCTGGGTGACACACGCATAACATAATATAGTGGTAATTATGACTATCAAGTGTGGGAATATTGTTAAAAAACATAATAATCAAATAAGGAATCCTCTAAATCCATCGCAGACCTTCCATTGCACGCCATGTTGACAAACAACAAGCAGTGATTGGCTGAGGGTGGGGCCGCCATATTGGATCCTCTTCGAATCCACCTCGCTAGCAGGGTCGGGTTCGGTGGATCGAGATCCGTGGATTCGACCAAACAAACAGTCAGATCGACGGATCCAGTGGATCGAGATCCGTGGATCCGACAAAACAAACACGTCCTTTGCCTGTTGTTAACTTGAAGGCTGTACAGTCAACTTGCCCTCCCTCACTGAATTTACTGACAATTGTTATGATGTATACATACATGTAATATTTGAAAGCGTTAATAAATTCCAAATGGTTAGTGTCCGGGTTGCACTGATTAAAACGCCGTGCTTTTCATCGGTCATCGATTCAGTCGATGGTCGTGCTGAGGGTGTCATGTCGAAAATTTTATGTAGAATTTACCACTTGTATCACTATGCTATGATGTTTGCATTATCATTTGATTGACTATTCCATGATGCCTTGGCAGTGCCAGCACCATCACCATGGACGAATGTCATAGCACTGGAAGTTTAAAAAAAAAATGGCATAAAAGATGATTCCTCGATATCTAAAAAGTGCGTACAAGTACTACAACTGATGATCAATCCAAATTTTCGACTGATTCCAATCCCTATTATCAGGAGTGAATAATGACAAATAATTTGTGATTATTCACCCCTGTTATCATGGTATCTATAACTATCGAAAGAATATTTTTCCAGAATATTTCAGGAACATACGAAATGGTAATCAAAACCTGCCCACCAACTCCTCTAACATGTCTAATGTACAATTGTAAGTGTGAGATGGTTCAAATGTGTACATCCCCTTGTAGATGGTACTGAACAATGACTTCACATATTGCCATCTTCATGTAAACATTAGAATATATATATATATAGTCAAGGTATGATTAGCTCTTGATATAGTGGTATTCATTATTTTCAGAGAGCACTTGGTACAAACTCACATGAGAAATTATATGGAAGAACAAGTTTTGACACGACAAGTAAGAAAACACAATATCCTTGGCATATATGCATCTTTATCAGTGTTGGTGTATCATTACTTTCCGTACATTATACTTTCCGGCATAATAAGCCCATTGATTATGCAATGTTGACGAATGCTAGAGTAACTGGCACCTTGTGTAGTTAATAAGTACATAACCTTATAGCCAAACGCGTATTAGTTTGTCCAATATCACTGCTGGTTACATTACAAACAAGACTTGAAATCGGTTGTTGATATGTATCAGCGTATCATTTAGTTACGTGCCGTAAATGTCGTCCAGGAGTCAAGCGATGACGTAAACATTTGTGCAGCCCATATGTTTTGGACGCCAGATGAAATGGAGGTGTCAGCAGTGTAACCACTGCCACGGACTAAACATGGAAATGGAGTAAAACACACGTACTAATCACGGACGCACGTGGACAGCCCTGACAAAAAGTTCCTTATCACGAGCGTCCATGTTTACGTAATCACTGATGATAGCATTGCGTACGGCCGAGCATGCATGCGAAAATGTCCGGTGCACTATAAATCTGTATCACACCCGCTTCGCCGGCAGCAGTTTGAAACTGTAAACAACTGATTTTTGGACTGCGGATTTCAATTAGACTTTTCTTATTAACCAGCAGTGATATTGGGCAAACTAATACGCGTTTGGATGTAAGGTTATGTACTTATTAACTACACAAGGTGCCAGTTACTCTAGCATTTGTCAACATCACGTAATTCAGTAGGAATGTCTATTAAAGGAAAAACCTTTACACATTTATAGTGGGTGAACCAGCTTGGAGGTCGACACCCAGATCCTTCCATTCGGGGAGGCTCTTCAGGACGTGGAGTCAGCCGAGAAGAGTAACCTTTGCTGGCGTGGAGCCGGATACTGGAAGTTCGGCCATGATGGAGTTACTCGTTGAAAAACTCGACAGCCAGTCACAGGTACACCACTGTCTACATCTGTCACAATGAAAGTGTGAGGTTATTAGCAGAAATAGATAATAAGGCCAAAACAAAATATAGGTGTGGTTACGGTTTCCCGACCGACCCTATTTATTCCCAGCGACCCTAAACATTTTATTGTAAATTTTCTTTAAAGTAAAAAAATAAAAATAAAAATATTAATTGGACAGTTCCTGCTTCAAAAGGCACAACGCACATCCTTCGGACATGGTTCGTAAATAAAATATTTCAAGAAAATAAAATGTTTTCCCTACCTACCTACCCTATTTTTTTTCGGCATGTAACGGTAACCACACATATATTTTGTTTTGGCCTAATAGAAGTATATCTAGTCTATTATTATCAACTCCTGCTTTGAAGGGATGTAGATCCAATAAGCTATATTATCCCCTTCACACAGTGTTGTCAATGTTGCCCATTATTTTAATGCACATAAGAGATTATAATATATGTAACCTGATAGTTAGGTTGCTATTTCGATTTTATGCAAATGAATGCTGTTCGAATTCAGTTTGCAATTCAAACAAAAAAGAAATTACTTTTTCATATTTCATACTTTGAATAGTCATTCATTTATAATAAAGTAAAAGAACGATTTTGAACACTAGACTAGTAAGATGGCACTCTGCAAAATATTGTGACCTAACACCTGTTTTATATAATTATTCGTCATTCCTAGTTGATTAGTGGTCTTGAGAAAAAGGTGACTTCGCTTGAGGTAGACGTCGCAGAGAAGCACAATACAATCAAATCTCTACGAGGTAAGGCACGGAAGTTAAATGCAAAATTTCCCTAAACATGTATAGCAAACACTAGGAATTTCAATATCACTGATGTAATGAGTTATATATTAAAATTCTAAGAATTTCTAAGAGTTTATTTCTGAGAGCCAACAATGGAGGATATTTGTCGATGCAGTGCAGGAATAAGATTACACGTTGTTTGGTTGAGGGTAGTAATGGTGTTAATATATAGCATCATTTAAACGTAAAATGTCAATTTGATGGTCTTGTTATAATAAATATGCTAATGTAAATTGTCTTGTGCCCGTTTTAAGATGACCTATCATACATCAACGAGCGTATGCTTGAGAAGGGTGTGGATGTAAAGACGGAGGGCCGGGTGAATCAGTGGAGAAAAGACATTCTAGAAGAGATGGCTTACATACGAACTCAGTTGCAAGCTGATAAGGTTGAACTTCATGACCGAAATAGCAATGACAACTTTCTTGTCCTCCAAAGGGAATTGCAGGACCTGTGAGTATGTGTGCGCGTGCGTGCGTGGGTGGGTGCGTGCGTGCGTGCGTACTTGTGTATGAGCGTGTGTGCATGTTTATGTGTGTGCATGTATGCGTGTGTGCATGTATGCGTGTGTGAGTGTGTGTGTGCATGCATGTCTACAAGTGTAGCAATCATACATGTGTAGTTATGTATTGTGAGTAATGTTTAACCTTTAATCACACAGGAGAAGATATGTGAAAGAGGAAATCACAGCACATCAAGGATATATAGAGAGCATTAGAACCAGATTAGGTTGGGGTCATTTCTAATTTAATTTTAGTAGTTTCAAATTTCTAACTTAATTTTATTTATCACCTATAGATTGATCTTTTACATTTAATTTGAAGATCTTTTTCCAAAAATATGAATGGTGATCACTATTCACTAGCCTCGTGTAAATTAGTAACATTTCAGCAGAATTCGATTACACTGTCCGAATAGACTCTCAATTCTTCTGCAGTGAAACTGGAGTTGGAGATGACAACCGTTCTTGCGTCTGGAAGAGACGTTGGCTGCCGGCAAGATCGACTTGATCAGGTGTGCTAGTATGCATAGAAACGAGTACAATCGCGTTTAATCAATTCCCCATAGAATAGGAGAAGTGTTGCTTGTGTCTGTTCAATCCTTTCAACTACATTACGTATGTTATATTGGAAGTGAATAAGAACAAACTGATTTCATTTACTCCTGATTATATATATATATATATATATATGTTCAATTACCTGTATCTGGCTTAGTCCTAGTTGCTCGATTGTCAGTGGCTGGTGATGACTCATTCGTTGGAGTGTCATGGCAGATCTCTTTTTGGGTGTTCTGTCATACTATCAGCTTTGCATGCTATGTAATTTATACGATTATGTTCGTCACAATAGTTTACTTTTCAATCTGTGTCGACTAGTCACTTTAGGTCCCAATCCCACTTCGCTCCACAGATATGCACTTAATAATATGCACTCATCTGTGAAAGTGGCAGAGCCTATTGCTTGTTGTTGTTTTTGCCAAGAGAGGACAGGATTGTTCATTGATTATCTAATGTTATTGTGCTATTACAGAAACTCAGGGGTATTGAAGATCTGCAAATGGGCCTACTTGATGTGGATGAAATAGTTCGTAATGGGGACACCCGACAATATAAAGAACTCAAGTGAGTGTAATAAAACCATTTGCTCTGTTATACGTGCAGGCTTTCATTTTTAAGGGGCGCGATCGCGCTCGCGCTCCACCGCGCACCCGAAATTGTGCCATGGTGCGCGCATCATCGCGCACCAAAAGTATGTCTATTATGTGGAAATAGCGCTCCATAGAGTTCTCAATGTAGGGGGGTACAAAAAGGTTAGCAACACACAACAATTTGTGGTGTGTAAGTAACTGAACGTATGGCAGAGGTACAGGTCTGGTTACTACCCTCTGGTTTATATATATATATAAATACAACTAAACAACTCGCACGAGGCATGATGGAGAGCCCCTCAAGGACTCTCCATCATCCCTTTTAAAGGTGTGATTTTTAGTGAGCTCTCCATCATGCTCTCTAAGGGTGTGATTTTTTAGTGTAGCTCTCCAATCAA